CACTATTACTGGGTGGGGGGTCCAGATAAGCTATGGCAACATCACTTTGTTTGTTGCAGGTTTCAGGTTTTGATGGGAAGGTTCTACCAGCCATGCAGAGCTATGAGCGTAAAGCTATTTTTGGACAGCGGAGGATATGAAAGCCTGTCACCCACAATACAACCTAGTCCTTAATATACCCCAAAAGCCAAGAAAGTGCAACTGCCAAGTCATAGCAGAAACCCCTACCTGGCGGGTCATGCAAACTTAGTAAGTAGGTTAAAAACCCCTAGAACCCACATATACCCACATAATAACCCCAATTGTCCCCAGTATTAACCTACTTACTAAATCACCATGACCCGCCAGGTAAGCCCTAAGCCCTAAACCCACAAAGTTGCATGCGTTGTGGGGTCTCAGAGATGTGTGACATTGTACACAAGAGACTGGACAGTACCTCCCCCAGACCAGTTCAGAATCTTTAGGGTTCAGGGTTTACTGGGAGCGTCATGGGGACTTAGTAAGTAGGTCAACAACTGCTATAAGCCATACAATAACCCCCAACTATCCCCATTATCAACCTACTTACTAAGTCCCCGTGACCTTCCAAGTAGGGTTCAAGGTTTAGGATTTTAGGGCTTAAGAAGCTCGCAACATTCCCTTGCAAAAAGGGAGCCCAAACCCTCAATCATAAGCCCCCGAACCCCAAAACCATAAAGCCTGAAAGCAAATTTGGAGGGAGGGCCGCTTCTTCGGGTTTGGGGTTTAGGGTTTAGGGTTTAGGGGTTAGGGCCAATGAAATGTCAGTTTCCATTTCATGCATTCTCCAGTTTCTTTTGCATTCGATTCCGTATTATTGCAGTGTCATTCATATTATTGGATCAAAATTCCCTTCGACCCTATCATATATCCTAACCCTAAACCCTGAGCCCTAATAATGTAGTCTCTGTAAGATCCATGCAGCTACACTAGTCCGTCCGGCACTGTTGTTTTCTTATTGGGGGTGGGGAGTTCCAAAGGTTGTCTCTATGGAATCCTAAGTACTCAAGGGTTTAGGGTTTGGGATGTCTGGCTTGTAGTTTAAGGTTTGCCATCACCAAGGAGTGGCACCTTGGGACAATTTATGTTCTTCTATTGTTGTATAAGGGAACCTATCTAGGCGTAATTTTTGTGGCATTTTCAAAGTACCACCAGGTAGAAATATTGTATAGAAGGCGAAGCAGGTACCCATAACCCCACAGGGAGAAGCCCTCATAGGTTTACTGTGCATGATGCGAGGGATCCTAAGAAAATGTAATAGGGTTTTAGCAGGATCCTTGTTCTCAAGATCCTCCCTGGCCTCTTTGATATGAATGCAGTTTCCATTTCAATTGTCATTATCTTGTCATTTTCAGTCTTTGTTATTGTGGTTGCGGTTGCCAAAATTTTGGTGTCTTTACTTGGCATAAGGCCTTTTGTATACGTGCAGTTTCCATGCTTCGTAGACTCTTTCCCCTCTGATTTTCAAATTTGAGGGGTTGGGTTGCCAACACTTACACATGATTACTTCATCTACATCCTGATATGTTTCTACTTTTATATCAACCCAGTTTGATGTCATTTTCCACTTCCTTGTTGATTTGTTTCCCTAAGCCCTAGGAAGCCCTGAATCCTAAGCCCTAAACCCCTAAATCCTAAACCTTAAACCCTGAAACCCCAAAGCCTGAATCTTAGATATTAAGCCCTAAATCCTAAACCTTAAGCCCTACACACCCTAAACCCTAAATCCTCCACCTTCAAGCCCTAAACCTTAAACCCCACATCCTAAACCTTAAAAAACCCTAAACCCTAAACCCTCCTAAACCTTAAAAACCCTGAACCCTAAACCCAATGACTTCTGAGCCGCCCTCCTGGTCACCGCACATGGCCTCACCCAAAATGGGGGTTTCCCAAAATTAGGGGTCCCTTTTTTGGGGGTCCCTATAATAAGGACAATAGTATTTTAGGGTCTATATTGGGGTCCCCCTATTTCGGGAAACTACCAAATGGTTTCGGGTTTAGTTTAGGGTTTAGGGGTTTAGGGTACAACAGGGGTTTCCCAGAAGTAGGGTACCCTGTAAAGGGGGTTATAGTAGAGTTTGCATAGGGGTTTGTAGGGATATTCTTCAAAGGGGT